CATTCCAGAGAGTCTGACTCGCGCGGGAACCGTCGCATCATTGACGAGGGCAGGTGTAAAGAGGCCTTCCGGCATCTGGCGCGGACGGGCGCCGAGCGTCGTCGCGACTCGACGTTGGGGTCGCCCGTCTCGACCAGAGGAGGTCGGCGTAGGGCCAAAGGCAAGGGCGCGCTTCGTCGCGGCGTCCATGCCGGCGCGGTAGTGGTAGTAGCCCTCGCGCGTGCGGGGCACGTCCCAGGAGAAGTAGACTGGGCTGGACGTGTGCTGCGACGCCAGCTTGCGGCGGTGCGCGATGCCGAGGTCGCGGTTGGCGCGGACCGTCTCGAGGTACGAGTCAATGTGTTCCTGGGCGACGCCCTCAGACTTCATGTGGGCGATGGCGGCCTCGTCAAAGCTCACGAGCTTGGTGGACTTGACCCAGTTGGCCTCGAACGCGTCAATCTCGCTGCCGATGGCGGCCGCGGGCCTCCATGGCCTGGAGCGTCTCCGCGAGGGGCTCGATCGAAGGGTCGGCCACGCCGAGGATGAACTCGTGGTCGCGCACGTCAATGGCGCTGCTGATGAGCTTGCCGCTCTCCGAGTCTGTGCGGGCAATGACGAGATTCTCGGTGCCCATGACATCCCACTGGAACCGCGCTGCATTGAGGCGGTTGATGTGCTCGCCCACCGGCACGAGAACCTTGCCTGCGAGGTGGCCACACTTCTTGCCGCCGTGGAGCTGATCCTCAAAGTGCACAGCCGCCGCGCCGTTCTCGGCGAACAGCTTGGCCAGCTTGAGGACGGCCGACAGACCGCCGTGGCCCGTGTCACCGTCGGCGATGATGGGTCGGAGGTAGTCGGTGTAGGGCGCCTTGGCACGCTGCTCAGGCGTCAGCTTGCGACGGGCGTCCCACTGCTTGCGGTCGTGCATCGACTGGGCTTTGGCCAGGCGCTGGACCTGGTTCGGCACCGTGTTGTAGGGGTAGTCGCCAAAGTCGGGCGACACCTCGTTGGTCGAGGTCAAGAGGGAGGAGCAAGCCCAGCCTGAGATGTAGAGGACCTCCTGGTGAGGAGCCTGCTGGGTCATCTGGACGGGGTCGATGGCGCCCATGGTGTGCAGGGGCTTGCCCTCCGCTCCGCGCTCTTTGATGAGGTTGAAGAGTTTACGGGCCATCAGAGAGCTGGTGTAGGTCTGCTGCTGGGTCCCGCGCTTGGAGACAACATCAGCTGCGCTGTAAGGGCGCTTGATGCCCTCGTAGCGAGGGGATCGCCACCATGCCTCGACCTCCTTGATTTGGGATTCGTACAAAGCATCCTCGGCTTCGCCAACCTTGTTGGCCTCAGACAGGAGCTGGAAGGCATCGGCCGGAACATCGGAGAAAGGGTTGGCCGGCGTCTTGGCCATCTTGGGGGTCGTCGATAGACAGCGCGCGGCAAGCGAGGGAGCAGAAATCGGCGTCGTCCTAGGCTTGAGAAGAGGGACCCGGCGGGGGGCTTTTGTTGCGATGCGGCGCATCATGGTGTGATTGTGTTTCGTTTGACTGACAAGCTGCTGTGTCTTGTCAATAACTACCTATGGAAAAGCCGGCAGTCAATCGACGATGAGATGGGTGGCATACCGAGGGTAGTGGTGGGTTGAAGTGCGCCTGGGGTGGAGTGAAGATATGGCCGGCGATATCTTCGGAGACCGAGGAAAGAAGATGAGGCGTAAGGGCACGTCCGACAACAGTTGGTTTCACTCGATGGAGGAATCAAAGATGAGAAATCGAGGTATGACATGCAAACAGGCAATAACACGGCCAGAAGCTGACAGGCACCTGCTCAGCAGCAACTTCTAACCCATGGCGCCTGCTCTGGCGAAATGCCTTGGTTAAGCGGTACTCTTTTGCCGCAGGAACGACCAACGCGGGGGTGTCTCCATATCAGCATGCCGTCATTGGCCAATCGACCTGGCCGCTGGGCCGTTGCCGGTGGGCGAGTGGAGGTACCAAGTGACGTCCCGGCTTGCCTCGGTATTCCAGGGCGGTGAGTCTCGTTCTGCCCCAACCCCCCCATGAGCCCCGCCTTCCAGCGCTCTTTCAGCGAGGCCGGTCGCTGCAGACGGGGGGGGGGGCTTTTGGGCCGGAGGAGGAGGTAATGCCCCACCATCCCCAGACTCCCAGTGGTTCTTGCTGTTTCGGTCTGTTCGCTGCCTCCCCTCACATGCTCGGCTTAACTTCTGGACATTCTTAAGCCTCCCAACTTTTTCTCCTCCTCCTTCACATCTTACCTCTTTGCCTCTGATCATCTGCTTCGCATAATCTGAAGTTACTTGACCCTGGATTGAGTCGACCGTGTCAATCCAAGTCTTTTGTGCCAATCATTGCTCCGGGTGCTTCTGATCATCAGTCCCTGGCAGTGCCCCTCTATCCGCCATACTCAATTCAGTTCATACAAAGTTGACCTACAACAAACGTCCACAATGGCTATGAACATCCGCCGAACGACGAGAGCGCTGGGCGCCCTTCGCGTGGGTCCCTCAACGATTATTGCAAACTAATTTCATCTTGCTGACTTTCACAGCCCATGGCTGCCCGGTCCGCCGTCAATGCCCGCCAGTACTCCACCTCCGAGCCCGACCTGAAGACCACCCTGAAAGAAGCTATCCCCGCCAAGCGCGAGCTTCTTAAGAAGGTCAAGGCTCACTCCAACAAGGTCATTGGTGAGGTCAAGGTCGAAAACACCCTCGGTGGCATGCGTGGCCTCAAGGCCATGGTCTGGGAGGGCTCCGTCCTAGACGCCAACGAGGGAATCCGCTTCCACGGCCGCACCATCAAGGACTGTCAGAAGGAGTTGCCCAAGGGCAAGACGGGCACTGAAATGCTTCCCGAGGCCATGTTCTGGCTTCTCTGACCGGTCAGGTCCCCCTCCACCAACCAAGTTCGCCAGTTTTCTCCGCGGAGCTTGCTGAGCAGGCTCAGCTGCCCGCCTTTCGTCAACAAGATGCTTGATGATTTCCCCAC